AGTTTCCTTTTCCAACTTTTTGATTGCTTCACCATTGTGGCAAGCAATATTTTCCAATTATGAGAGTCTTTCTTCTGCCTCATTCATTCTATCATTGAGACTTCTGACTGAATTATTAATTTACCCCATTGTGTGTTTCATTTCAAATAATTTGGCTTGATTTTGTTTCAGTGTTTCTGTTTCCTGTGTGTATGTGCTTCTCTTTGTTGATAAGAATCTTTATAACATTTTTTAAAGTTCTTTATCCCCCATTTCCTCAATGTCTTCCTCAGTTAACTCTGAGGTTAGCAAAGGTTTTGCTCCTTTGCAGGGGAGTCTTCAGTAATATTCATTGTGCCTCTGTCTCTTCTTTTGCTCTTGGTCATTGTACTTCTGGTTAGCAAATTCTCCTTCAGGGAGGTTTCTAAGTTGTGTCACCCAAAGGAGTACAGCTCAATTTTACTTAGTGTGTCTGGTACCTGGTTCTTTATTTGCAGTCACTTGTGTCACACCCTCTAGTGAGTTGCAGGCCTGAATTCTTGTGTTACACTTCCACCATGGTCTCCTGTAGCCCCAGCTCATGGCTTACCACTCTCCACCTCCTATGACCCCGTGCTATGGCTGTGCTGTTGTCTGTACAACCTTTCTCCCACTTCGGATTTGAGCAGGTCTCAGAGTTAGATAGACACCAGATATCCTAAATAAATAGATTGTTGGTGGTGCTGATCTTGCTGCAACCTGCTTGCCATAAGGTCACTGGGCCACTCAGATCTGTTTTGACCCAAAGGATGCCAAAGTATGTATTATTTTCCCTGTGGGACCAGTACAAGGCATTGATCTCAGAGAGTGTGTTCCCATTTCAGTGCATGTTCAGCTCATTATTGTGCCTGCAGTCTCAAAGTCTTTGCCACACTATACAAAATAGCTCCTTACATGACACTGGTGGAGTTGTTGATATGCTGGCTGTTGGGTCTGGGGGCTACCTATATGTATTTTGGGTGAGACCTGTAGATTCCCACATTGGTGCAATGCACTGAGCCAGAAATGATTTCACTCCCAGCTTAGTGCATGCACTAGCCCGTACCATAGCCTTTGTCTCCCTACATAAAATGGTGCCCAATGTGGCTCTGGTGGGGAGGCCTGGGCTGTGAAATCACCCTGTTCCTGCACTGCCTGATTGGGATTTGCTGCTCTGTCTCTGCTCCTGGTCAAATCAAACAAATCAGGATGGGCAGTTCTTTGCCTGAGTTCAACTGGATCATTTAAGTTTATAAAAGTTACAGCTCAGAAAGCATATTATGTGATTTCCTTAAGTAAAAGGTTCTTGCAGATACCCTTGGTCTACATTTCATTTCCATTTCTTTAGTCCTTTCTGTATTAATAATTTCAGATACAAACATTTAACTGTTTGCATTGTAAGTCTTACCTGGAGATTTCATAAGAACCTAACTCCATTGGAGAGAGATGAGAGAGTGGAAAGAGATGAAATCCAGTATATGGCTTCAAATAATTAATAACAGACATTCAAATTTTATATACATATAACTTTTAAAAACTGTAGCATGTACTGGCTTATGATCAAAATAAGGATTATGAGTTGTTCCTGTTGAGTCCTTGAGATACAGATGATGATGGTGTTTGCAGGTGTTTGTGATGCAGATTGGAGGTGTGTGATGTACCAGTTAAGACTTGGGTTAAGGAACCTGCGTCTCGCCTCAGGGTGGCTATTCCAGGTGAATCTAGGAGTCTAGAACTCTGGGATTTCTACATGGGTGACAAGGACCCAAGTATTTCTACCATCATGTATTATCTCTCAAGATGTGCATTAGCAAGGAGCTAGATCAAAAGAAGAGTAGCAGGGGCTAGAATCAGGCATCCCAATATGGAATGGGGGTATTTTTAGCTGTGGCTTAACTATTGTGCAAAATGCCTGCTAAGACTGTAGCTGTCTGTCAATGCACACTCTAGGAGGTAGTAGTGATTATTAAAGTAACTGGGTCCCTGATAAACACATGGAAGACTTGGGTTGAGTTCCCAAATCCTAGTTTTACTCCCAGAACAATGTTGCATGTATGTGGGGGTGATGGGGATGAGCCAGTGGATGCGGGTTCACTCTATTTTTTTTTTTTTTTTGCCTCTCAGAAAAAAAAAATACAGAAAGAGTGTGAGCCCATCAACACATCAACATATAAGAAACTAGTATTTCAACACAGTATTTCAACTAGTATTTTAACAGTTTGGGGAGATTATTTACCCAAAAGCCACTTTAGAACCTGTCAGGTTCTTCTTTTAATATTTATTGGGAAAGAAAAGGAGAGCTGATTAATTAACTGATTCACTCATTAAATATCCAAACAACGTCATACTGGCCCAGCTGAAGCTAAAACTAGGGACTTCAGTGCAGTCAAGGAACCCAAGAATTTGAGCCATACCATTACTTCTCAGACTTTCCATCTTTAGAAACCCAGAATCAGGAATTAGAACCGGGGATGGAAGGCAGGTACTCTGCATGCCAGCTGACATCTTACCCTATAGGCTAAATGCATGTCAAGGCATGTTGTTCTCAACACAGGCTCCTAGTTAAACAAGGCTATGACCTTATACATCTGTGTGTGTGTGTTCCTGTTTATCTAGGAAGATAAATGGATAGATAAGTGGATAGATAGATAGATAGATAGATAGATAGATAGATAGATAGATATATAGATAGATAGATAGATAGGTGGATAGATAGAGAAATTCTTCTTGGGCCCACAATATAATTTAATCTTCTACCTCTTTTTCTCCTTTTATCAAATGAGTCTCAAGAAGGCAGATTAAAGTTAAGAGAACATTACTTAAACATTTTGTTTTTAAAATCATACCAGGTTGGAATGCTGAGTTGCTCAGTATGATACAATGGAGTATCAGATAATGAAGTTTATGTTTTCTGTTATACAACACAGAAAATTTTGATTCTTAAAGTTTCACCGTTTTTTACATAATCAGTTTCCTAATTAGAGAAAATACTTCAAAAAGTTCATGCAAAATGGACATTAAGAAAAAAATGCATGGATTTCAAAATATTTTGTGCCAAAGATTTATCTTTTAGAGCCATTTTCCACAGACACTCTGAAGTACTTCTGTACAATGAAGTGGGTTAATATTTTTCCAATTATACCAGATGTGGAGAGTATTGTTCATTTTATGCTTAATCTCTTCCAAGAGTGAAAATATATATTCATTCAGTCTTGGTTTCCCTGGATTATTATTCTTAAATAACAACTAATTGAGAATTAATTTCAAATCTAATTCTGAAGTAGTCAATAAAATTGAATTCCAGATAACATCTTATGTGTACAAACAAAAATGTAAATATCCCAATGGTTTCTCAGACTAGAATTCACTTCCATCTTACTTTCAAATAGGAAACAATCTCTCTTGGTCTTTCCTTTGATACATAAGGTCAAACAGTTAATTTTCTTTCTTATTCAGGAGCATGCAAAACTGAGTTTTCTGGTGTTTCTCCATAGCCCAGTCATCTTGAAAGTCAGATTTTGGTAATATCATGACCTATAACCTTTTGTTTTCGATTTGGTTTCTGCAGAGTATCAACTGTGGGAGAGTATCTATATTAAAAATTTATTTTAAAGACCTCTATTTCGTTATCTTTTCTCCTTTCCTCTCCACAGAATTTAAAAAAGAATAAATTAATGAAAGGTTTAGACTGCATTCTTAATTTTTACTTGTCATTATGTTTGTTGACTTTTGTTCCCTATATTATAATAATATGGTTTGCATGGTATCTTATTTCAAAGCATTCTGGTTATGAAGCAATCAAAATGTACATTTCCAAGGTCATTTTAAATTGTCACAAATGTATAATAAAATGTTTATCTGCTATTCTATTTATTCTACTTGAAAGGAATTGAGAGGGATAAACTCTTCTAACTGCTTGATTCACTTCTTCAGTGAGTGCAGGATTCATTCTGCCGTATAGGTGGCAGGGGCCTAACCACTTGAACCATCATCTACTGCCTATTATTGTTAATAAGTTTTAACCCCAAATGTGCAAGATTTGGAATTATTTGGTAATTCAGATTATATTTAGTCCTCGTGCAATACCATCGCTGGGCTTTTGAGGAACAGAAGTCTCTCTGCAATCCACCAAGGAGAGTCTGCATGAGGACATGAGGAGAAGGCACTGTCAGCCAGCCAGGAAGAGGCCTTCTCCAGAGCCCAACCACACAGGCACTATATCTGCCCTCCTCCTCACCGGAATTATGAGAAAATAATTTTCAATGGTGGAAGCCACAAAATCTGTAATATTTCGTATGGCAATCTGAAATGACTGACCAGTGATCATCCCAATGGCAAACTAAGAGGTCAGCGGCAGAACTGACATTTGAACCCTCATGACTCTGCCTACAAATCCCACACTTTCAATTTTCTCCTGAATTCTGAGTTGGAAAACAATGAATACAAGAAGGTTTTTGAAAAGTGTCAGACCTTGAAGCTATCGTTTGTATTTTTGTTTCACACGTTTAGCAAACCTGCATAAAACGAATAGAGAGCTGTCATTCTTCATTCTTGCGTTCTAGAAGGATGTTATTATTGCTCTCAAAATTGCAGGATAATGTTAAAACATGTAGCCAATATTTGTAAAACTGCGATGTTGAAAAAAAAATTCCAACGAGATTTACTATTACTGTATTTGTGCATTTTTTAAAAGTCATATAAAACACAAACATCCAGTGTTGTGGTTGGAACTAATTGGCAGTATACCATTAAAGCATATTAAAATTAACATCTATTAATTGGATTAGAAATTCAGCGAGAATGACAGCTGCTAAAGCCTTTTACAGTTACTTTGTTTTTCTATAATCCATATGGCAGAAATAGAATACTGCTTTTTCCTTATTGAAATAAACATTTAAATCTAAAAAGAGTCTACTCAATGTGGTCAGAGTATTTACAACTGTTTCCTTTGCTTAAAAATGTTATTATTAAAACTGAACTATCTTTTTCCTCCTCTTTCACAGGTTTTCTCCAACCATATTTTTATATTTGATTAGCATTGTTCCATCATTGTGGCTTCTTGAAGTGCATCATGGAACTCAGGTACTTCATTTTAAGAAGTGGGAAATGGGAACATTCAGCAATAAACTACTTTTGCAGAACGATCTGATTTGTTTCAATAATGTGCTTCTTAATGGAGTTATTAAGCATCAAATACGAAACCATCATTAAGACAAAGTGAATCTATCAATAAGAATATTGCATGTACTTAATGATTAAGATTATATATTAATTAATATTTTTCATTACATACGTGTTTAAAAGATTTATTTAATTATTTAAAGTGAAGATATCAAGAATAGGAGAATTGAGAAAGAGAGAAAGACACACACACAGATTTTCAATCCATTTGCTCACTACCTAAATAGCCAGTGCTGGGCCATGCCAAAACCACGAGCCAGGAACTCTATCCTGGACTCGTGACTCAATGCTCTGGTATGGTATGCTGGCATTGAAAGCATCAGCTTAACCCCTCGTGTCACAATGCCAACCCCTGTAATACAGATCTTATTCATATCGCTCCCTCCCTTGGCCACTTCATGCTCAATGGAGATGTGAGTGTTTGGTTTTAGCTCCTGTGGCTTCAATGCGCTTGTATTTTGTGGTAAGAGTAAGCAGGTCTTAATAATCTGCCTTCCTGGGGATAACATTTTTCAGAATTACAAAACTAAAGCCAAAACCAAACCCTGATCTGTACTCCAACATGTAGAAAGAATTGAAACTGTAGGGACTATTTAAAATAGTCTTACCTAAAACACACTTTTGCAGACTATAGGAGATTCACCTTGGGATGTTTCAAGAGCTTCCCAATGAAATAGGAATGCTTATTCCAGAGCCGTAAAGGTAAAGAAGAGGACCATGGGATCCATCATTGGAAAGGGCAGGCTTGTATGGATTGGACCACACTGTTCTATAAGTCAAGCACTCATTTCTAGTAAGATCTCCTATTTTTAAAATACAGATTTGTTTTTAAAATTAAAGAAATCCATTTAGAAGCTGGCACGTGGCACAGGGAGTTAAGCCACTTACTCTGTGTGTTTATATCCATATATGAGTTCCCACTATCCTGTTCTTTACCACCGATTCAGGTTCCTTCTAACGCACTTGGGAGGCAGTAGGTGATGGCTCAGGTGTCCTTGTTATCCAAGTTGGAGACAAGGATGATGCTCCTGACTCCTGGTTTCAGCTTGATTGGGACCCAGCCATATACTGACTTTGCAGAAGTGAAGCAGCAGAAGGATCTCTGTCTCTCTCTCTCTCAGACATTATACCTTCAAATAATCTTTAATTTTAACAAAATTGATAGGCAGAGGGACAGATGGACAAAGAGATTAAGAGAGTTTCCATTCTAAGTATTTCATGCCTCAGATGTCTGTCATGGCAAGAACCAGTTTGGGTCCAAGCTAGGAGTCAGGAACTCAATCCAAGTCTCCTACACAGGTAGCAGAGAACAAATTTCTTGAGTCATTATGGCTGTCCCCTAGAGCCTGAATCAGCAGGAAGTTGGAGTTTAGAGCAAGAGTTGCATATGATACCCAGATACTCTGAAGGGAATTTCTTAGGTGGCATCTTAAACAGTAGACCATCTGCTTGCCCTAAAGAAATTTAACTGAACCACATGCTATGGGCACAGCTCTAGCTAACAGGTTCTAATGTGGATTCCATCAACCTGTTATTAATGTTCTCTACCACTCTGAAAAGGCCCGTGAGTGAAGTTCCCAGACTCCAGTGTGGACATCAAGGTTCAGGTTATATGATTCTAATACAGATAAACTGTAGTTAGGTAGGATATATATATATGTATGTATGATTTATTACACATATATTTATTACATATTACACATTATATATTTTATATTTTATAGATATTTTAGATTTATTTTATTTTTATTAGAAAATCAGATAAACAGAGAGGAGGAAAGACAGAGAAAGATCTTTCATCTATTGATTCACTCCCCAAGCAGCCACAATAGCCAGAGCTGAGCTGATCAAAAGCCAGGAGCCAGGAGCCTCTTCCAGGTCTCCTACACAGGTGCAGGGTCACAAGGCTTTGGGCCATCCTAGACTGCTTTCCCAGGGCACAAGCAGGGAGCTGGATGGGAAGCAGGGCTGCCAGCAGAACTGCTGCCAATATGGGTTTCCAGTGTGTGCAACGCAAGGACTTTAGCCACTAGGCTAACACGCAGGGCCTGGTAGGATATATTTTGACACCTAAACTAATAAAATGCTTTAAGCAAGATCTTAGTCAATATAGCATAGCTATATAGAAATCTCTTTGCTATAGTCAGTAATGTTACAACAGACTTAAATCTCCACTATATAACCTTATCTGAAAAATGCTTGCTCCAAATTTTAAACACAAAAAGGGGAATTTAGCTTTGTAGTCTTTAAAGAAATTCACAAGAAAAGCCCACTAGCATAAGCACAAACACAGCATTTTTCTTCCTTAGATCTCCTGTTAAAAACATTAAAGTGATTGACTATGTCTGAAGCAAAAATTGTTTTCTATCTATAGATTGGTTGATTTGAGTTATCACAGTTTCTTTTTTTCCAAGAGCACCATAATGAGTTAAAAAAACTACTTCAATCTCTTTACTACCTACTACTTTCAGGGATATGGAAATAAGCTCTTATGGTTTGAATCAATTTTTTCCTTCACCTCCAATTCTATGACACAGCTATCATCCACAATAGCAATTCATTTCCCCAAATGCTTTTTTTAGTATAAATGCATTGCACAGTTAATTGATACACAGGTCAAATCCCATTACAACAAATAGCATGCAACCAAAAGCTCTTTTTTAATAAAAAAAAAAAAAAGATTTTTGAGCCAAAGGCAGTACCTCTTTAATTTTCATACTACAAAGGAAATTGAACCTTTAGTAGTAATGGATTTGACACTGAGAATTAAAATGAGTGCCCAGAGATTGAATTGGTCAGAGTGAACAGGGACAGAAGAAAATGTAAGAGAGACAAACAAAGTATGTGAATTGCATTCAGATAAATAAGACAGCTAGAATGGAGACGGAGAGACAACAAATAGCTCACTTAGCAAAGTTTGGTTGTGATAGCAGTCACTTTCATCTCTCATTCTTTTCAGAGTTTTCTGTTACATTTCTCACAGCAACTCCATGAGTTAGGCACAGTGCATACATTTCTATTTTATAAAAAAGGACCCTGTGGCTCAGAAAGGTTAAGTAATTTTCCTAAGGCCACATAGCTAATCAATAACAGTGCTGGCACTCACAATGTAATGAAATGCCTATTTCACGAAGCCATATCGCCTTTCCCAATAATACGTTTTAGAGACTTTGGAAGTTACACTGAAAAAAAAAAGTAATTTAATTTTCTTTTTCCATTTTCGGTTTACATCCTAAAGGTCTCGCATATGACTTGTAAAAGGAAAATGCCATGGCCTATTTCATGAAGGCATCTCCCTGTGTGACCAGTTTGGTACCTGCATTCTTGAATCTGGCAATATCTACTTGCTTTAAAAAATGTTTATAACAACAACAATTGTGACATTAGCCCCCTTGTCACATCTCTTGATAAAGTGGCACAATTAAAGTAACAACAATGTCTTAGACTTCATGACATCGCAGCCAGGTTGGATTCAAAGGAATATTTTTCATGCTAATATGAGTTTTAACAACCTAGCTCATGAAAAAATAGCATGCTAGGATCCAGACCAAGGACATGGAATCACCTGTACAATGCTGAATGGCAACAGTATTACTGAAGAAACAGTGCAAGTCAGGCTAGGTTTTAGGAGTCAAATCACTTCTTCATTGTAGTCCTAATGTAGTTGACGCTTAAGAGAAAGTCACATCCATCATAACAAACAGAATAACAAACTTGGAGAGGAATTTACATAAGTCTTTATCACACTAATAGGATGTTTGCCTGCAAGTTATCATACACTACAAGCAATGATAAAAAAAAAAGGCAAGGTGTTTATAGAATATTTAGAGAGAATGATGTGCGAAACACATTCAAGTCACCATTTCTTTTTGAAAGGCAGAGACACATAGAAACAAAGTGAGACAGAGTACGGTCTTCATTCTCCCAATGCCTGCAACCACTAGGTCCTCACACTCTCCAGAGCTGAACCACACCGTAGCCAGGAGCCAGGAACTTTCACGGATGTGGTAAGAATCCAACAACTCGAGCTCTCCTCTGCTAGCACCCAGTGTGTGCCTTGGCAGGAAGCTGAAACCGGAAGCAGCGCTGGGACCTAAACCCAGGCTCTCTGATATGGGTTACACATGTCCCAGCAGCCTCTTTGCTGCATTACAGCTCACCCAGTGCCCACCCTTTTTACCACATTGTCTTTTGGTTGCAGACAAAATGGTCAGGGGTGCCCTATTCATTATCTCGTACTAAGAAAGGAGTGATAAAACCACCCCATAATGAGGATCTGTGCTTTGTACGAAGTTTTAATGTTTTATTTTAATTCTAATTTTCCTGGGCCTTAGCTGAGTATGCACACATACATACACACACTCACACAATGTGTGCCAACAGCTGTAATTTGCCCCTACAGATAGGGCATTAGCCACTTTTATTCATTATTCTTGTCATTTTACTCATAATACTAGTTATTTGGATGGATACAAATAGTTTCTTGGCAGACTATCTTTTATGAGTTTTCAAGTAGCTCACAAAATGATTGATAAAATTGCAAAATAAGGAAAAAAATTTCTTACAGCTTTAGCTTTTTTAAAAAATTGTTTCTGCATAAAACAAAAGCGTGATTGTGAATGTTTGATAATGATAGTACTGGCTTTGTATTTCTGTGTATTTGTGTTTAATATACGTTAGTACTACGCATGTTTTTAAAAACTGCTTCAACCTTTTTTGAAACACCATTTGTAAAATAGCATTGTCTACACTGACATTTTAAGAGCCACACTTTTTCTCTCTAATGTTCTAGTCCTTGTCTTTTTCTACCTCAAATTATCAGCAGCTGGTTGGATAAAAATGTACTGTTAACTTGCATGAACATATATACAACCAAGAAATAGGCAGGGGGCAAAAGGCATTTCTTTTAGATCAACTGTCAAATTTTACACAAATTTAAATTGACTTCTGAAGTGACATCATAATATACACATATACATACACAAACACACATATATAGCATTCAATATGTTAATTTTTCTGTTTCCTTTGGTCCTTGACAGGCAAGACTGAAAGTAACTGAATTATAGAAAAGTGGTAATTTAGGTAAGAGGCTTCTGGATAAGAAAGAAATGTATTAAATAAGTGTTTTGACAAGGGCACTACGTGTTTATTGTTGTTACTGGTTGTTGGTTTGTTATGGCTGTTCCAAGGTTTGAGAGAAAAATAGTTATTCATTCTTAAGTTCTATTGCCCTCTACAATAAACCCTTATCCTCATGTATCTAATAGATGTCTTTGTAACCATAAGACATTTACAGTTGACACTCTTCTCATATTAATTTAAAGGTGTTTCAAAGCTATCATATTTAAATTTTCAAATATTTATGCATATTGTATGAACTACATATCTGCTCATGATCAGTTGGATAGACTGAAGCTGTTTTAAACCTGTATTACAGTCGTCTTGGGTTTACTTTGTTTTTCCGAATCTTAGCATTGCCCTGTTCAGTCTGGAGAAATGTCACAGAATAGCAGCAGCAAAGAAGTCTACAATCAAACATTGATCTCCAGGAAGCAAATCCACGGAGCTGAAGATCTCATTGAATCGGTGAGAGCTTCTCCCACAAGCATTAGAAGACACACAAATGGGGGACTTGGTGAGGGGAACACAACACATATCTCCAACTCAGTCCTTCTAAGAAACTGGTTGATTGCTTAATTGTTTGCCTTAGAAATTCACAAAATAACATTTTTATGCATTACTGAACATTTACAAATGTATAATAATTACAAGTACATAAATGTATTTTACTGGCAGTATTAGAATTAGAAACATTTAGATCTGACAATATGAAAACAAAGACAGACACATAAAAGAATGCTGTAATGAAAGAATTGGAATCTGACATGTATATATCATATCATATATGTATAAAATTGTAGCATGTCAGTTTTAGACAAATTTTGGTTCACAACAAAATTGAGACAAAGATACAGAGATATCCTTTATTCTCCTGCCTCCACAGAAATGCAGCCTCTTTCAACAGTACCCTGCATTAGAGTGCTATGTCTGTGTTGATTAATGAAACTATATAAACACATCAACACGCAAAGAACATGGCTAACATTAGTGTTCATTCCTGGGTTGTGTATCTATCATTATAGCGCCATATGGAGTATTTCTACTGTCACAAACATGCACTCTTGGGTAGTCAGTGTTGTTTTTGTCCACATGGTTTGGCCTTTTCCAGAATGTCCTATCATTATCTTCTTTCCCTTGGTAATATGTTCCCATGTATATTTTCATGGCTGGACGGTTCTTTTTAATGATAAACAACATTCCATTGCCTGTTTTATTATCCATGCAATTTCTGAAAGCATCTTGGTTGTTTTTAAGTTTTGGAAAATATGAATAAATTACCTATAACATTCTAAGGCAAGTTTTGTGTGGACATAAGTTTTCTCCTTTGAGTAAAAACCAAGGAGGGCACAGTTGCTGGATCATAGGACAACAGCATAATAATCTTGTAAGCAATGGGCAAACTGTCTTGCAGAGTGGTTGTACTTTCTGCTGTTTTACCAGCAATGAATGCGCTCCTGTTCCGCATTCTCCCAGTATACAGTATTGTCAGTGTTCAGGATTTTGGACATCCAATAAGTAATGATATATCTTTGTTGCTTTAATTTGCATTTCTCTGATGACATATGATAAGAATATTACGTCTCCTTATACATTTATTTATCATCTTCTTTAGTAAGATACCTGTTAAGGTCTTTGATCCAGCTATTTTTCAAATCAAGTTGTTTACTTATCAGATTATAAGGGTTCTTCGTGTACTTGGGATCAGTTATGAGATGTATGTCTTTCACATCTATTTTCTTACAGTCTGTGCTTGTGCTGTGCTTTTTTAATGTCATATTTTATAAACAGAAAGTTCTATTTTTAATCTTAATGAATCCCAGCCAATAATTCTTTCTTTCATGAAATGTGCCTTTGGTGTTGCATCTAAAATGTCATCAAATGAGGTCATGCAGATTTTCTCCAAGGTTATTGTTTAGCACTTGTTTTTTTTTTCCTTCATTTTATGATACATAAAGGTTCTGGGATTTCTTTTCTCTCTGTTTAAGACTTCTATACTTAACTTTTGTGAAGGCTAATAGGTTCATGTTTTTGTACGTGGATATTCCAACGTTATTTCTGGACACTATCTTTTCCCAATTGTATTGCCATTTCACAAAATACTTTTCACAGTAAGAGATCCCATTGATTCTGTGAGGTTTACTACAATTGACTCACGCCAGCACCATAGCATGGCAGGCTACGCATCTACCTGTCGAGCCTAGATCCCATATGGAAACAATTCAAGTCCAGGCTGCTCAACTTCCAATTCAGCTCCCTGCTAATGCTCCTGACACAGCACCCACATGAGAGAACTAGAGAAAGCTTCTGGCTCCTTTGGACTGGCCTACATCCTGCCATTGTGGCCTACTGGGGAGCGACTCAGTGACCTCTCCTCTCTCTGTAACTTCGCCTTTCAAATAAGAATAAATAAATCTTTTTAAAAAGCCTGCACATATATATAATTCAAGCTACAAAGAAAACTTAACTATATTACTCTGGGAAAATTTCTTAGAGCCTCCCTTCTCTATTTTTTATCTGACAACTAAATATTATTATTTTATCCTGTTAATATCCTTAATAGTTCCTCTACCAATGTAATTCCTGGATGAATTCTACATGATTTGTTCATTGTTTTATGGAAGAAATAAAGAGATTTGATGCAAATTAAATATTATCTTCATACAGTTACAATGATGTTAGCATCTACTTCTGATTTTTTCTTTTGTACATTTAATACTGTCAAGTAATAACTAGGTATAGTTTTCAAAGAGTTAAATAACTTTTATAAGTGAATTGAAATCAATATTTTATCCATGTGAGAGTTAAGTTATGACAGTCTTTAGGAAACCTCTATAGCATCGATATTACTTTTGAATTTATTCAGAAAATAACTGAGCAAAAGATGTCATCCAGCCATGAATGGGATATAAATTTTTGTCAAAGTTCCTCAATATAGGTAGATCAAAATTTACTTTCTGGTTGAAAGAATATTGAATAATATCAGGATATGTTAAGTATCAGAGTAAAACTAACCACACAGTGATTCTCTTTCTTTACGCTTATGTAAGGGATACACATTGTTATCCCTTAACTATGTGTATCTACACTTAAATAAGAGGATCATTGACTTGTGACTGTTGTGGAAGGACTACACTATTGTTACAATATAAGGGAAAGCTGTGTATGTGTGTGGGCAGAGGTGGGTTGGAGGGAAAATCCCTAAACCTAAGGAACTATATTATGAAAAATAAAAATTAAGAAAGAAAAAAAACCCAATGTGTATCTATTGGTTGGCTACAATAGATTTCAAAGGCAATAATGATCAAAAAGGAAGCTCTGTGCTATTACAAAACCATTCTCAAATGTGCAAATTCAGATTTAAAATATATGATATATAATATAATCTTTTGTGATTTCAGTATGAAATTTATAAGATTTTGCTATACTATTACAGTACACAACATGAGAAATACTCTTCAACTATTGTAAAATCTTATTAGCAAGTGTAAGATTTAAACCACATGTTAGTTATAAGACAGCTCCATCTAATGAATCATATTAGACTTTTGTTTTTGATGTTGCTGAAAGGGCTGTGACTTTCTTTCTTCAGTAAATGAGCCATGGTAAAGTAGATATTTCTCTCCAAGGTGGTAGCTCATAATCTTTGTGTCTGTGTGACATTTCTGTTTAACAGGCCAGAGTTTTTGTAACTAACTTATCTGCAGTATGTGAGAAGGCTTGGACTTTGGGACTCCATCAGACATTCCTACTACTGCTAATTATTGGAAGATGGCTCCTCCCCATTGGAGGAGAGATCACTCGAGACCAACTCTCAGAACTTCTGCTTATGTTTGTGGGGACGGCTGCTGACATCCTGGAATTCACAAGTGAGACTCTGGACATAGAAAGTGTGAGGTAAGTTGACTATTCACTTGTAAGACAGGACCTTGCATTTGTCTCCTGGTTCTGTTATTTACATTCTAAATGAATGGAATTATTAATATATGACAGATATTCTATTGTTAAAGAGTCATAGACTTCATTATTATGTGTCGTAGAAACCAGCACCATCTTCATATTTGAACTCATACAGGAAGGCGGTTTCTGTTAGAGACACATGATATTTGAGTGAGAAATGAGAGAAAAATTTCTGCTCATGTGCAGGACCACAGATCTGGTGGCAATGATATAATCTGAAAACTTCCTGGGGTAGAATGGTCATCCCCAGATTTTCTTTCACAATCCAAAATGTCAGAAGCACAACCAATCAGTTGGTTGTTATCTTCTCGACCATTATATGGGCAGAATTCCAAGACAGGGATTAGAAGAGATGTGGAGAAATCTCTCCCCTTGCCAGTTGGGAAATGTACACTCCCTGGTGGGAATGGTAGATAACGTTTTATTTTGCTAAATTTCATTTTCAGCCAGTTTTGTTCCAAGTGCCCAAAGGCTTTCTGGTGTAGATACCTATAAATTAAAACTTATTGAGTTGGTACTTTTATTTTTGCCACAAGCAAATAAACTCAGAATCCATGATCACATCTGTTTATGGAACTGCTTTCTTACCATTTGGGATTTAAGTCTCGGTTCCTAAATGTACTTTAAGCTTGAGTTGTTCTGCACTGTGCTATAAAAATAAATTGGAATGAGGCTGGTTTTTAATGCTACAGTTTACTTTATGCTGTGCTTCTCAAACAATAAAACATAAAGCTGAGCAAATATACTAATTAACTGATTAAACTCAATATCTCAGTTACAACACAAATAACATTTATAATTTTGAGGGTTATCTTTTTAAGATCAGTTCCTATTTCACTAATACCAATTTTTCTTTTGGCTTACTGAGTTGACAGATTATTTCAAAAATTACTCAGCCTAAATTAACCCATTGTCTTTAAAGTACTGATTTCATCTTTGCAGTTATAATACTGTACATTAGATTAATGATTTATATCCTGCATGTACAATATTAAATATTTTCAAACATTTAAGAAATTAAATATTTTTAAGAAAATAAACATTTAATATCTTAAATATATTTAAATATTTAAGAAAATTAAAATAATGTAGTTAGAAGAAAAACATGAAGAATCATGACTGAGAATATAAAAGCATTAAATATCTGCAATGACAGGGCTACACACACATGCACACACACGCACACACACACACACACACGATTTTACATTCACATTTGTTTATTTAAAACAATAGAAATAAAAGGACAAAATTAAAGTGTCTCGATAAGTCAAGGCTAGAACTAGCTTTTTTCAGGGGGGGTATAAACCTTTCATATTTTACTCTTAAAGTGACTATTGTCCAACAATATTTATATATTACAATATTTCCATAACAATATTGATGATAAGCTTACATCTCCAGAGGGAACTTACTTTTTTCCCATAATTGCTAATGCTGCAGTCAAAGATGATAATATTTTTTGCTGGAAGCGTTAATGACCTATCCTAACAAAAGTTTGTAGCCCCCGTCCTCTTGCATTTTTCACTGGGTTCTGGGTATAGGAAGAGAAGACAGTACAGAACAGGGTGGGGGAGCTCAGTGTTTTTTGTCTTATGGTTTGGGTTCTGACGAAGGAAGGGGTGTAGGGCATGTACCAAATTTGAGTGCTCCCCTCAACCTGAAAACACAAATGGGGTTTGGTGTACACCAATAAAAAGATAACTTATATATGTTAAATATCTAGGGGGAAGCAAATGGCCAAAGGATAGTAAAAGAGACATTGTTGTTATGTCCTGTGGGGTAAGTCATATTAAAGAAATGTCAATCTCTGTTATCTTAACGGACTATTAATTGTCCTACCTACAAGCAGAACCAAGAGAGAATGTATAGCTGAGTATTAATAAATGAAGTTTTAGTTGCCCAGCTTTTATTCCAATTAAACACCTTGAAAAATATAAAACATTCTTTCGTTCACCTATTGCCATATAAATATCAGCCCGAGGCACTGTTTTAGGGTGGGACAGAAGCAAAGAGTGAGATTTAAATCCTTAACCTTAACTATTATGCAAAAAGACACACAGTCCTGTCCTTTCTATTCACCAAAATTTAAGAAAGCTTAACTATATCCAACTATTCTTCTGTCTACAACTTAAGCTGAATGTGTCACAACATACTTAATTAAAAAAACTTTTCAATTCAGATCACTATCAAAGAGCACAAAAGCTCAATTTAGGTCAAACAAACTGAAACAATCCCTTCAATATCCATGGACAGATTGAGCTAACCACTGTTTATGTGAAAAAAAAAAAAAAACCCAATTTCATCTATACTGAACTACACAGGTTTTTCTCCTGGGTGACATGGTATAACAACTTACGTATGTATCATTTTTATTGTATTAAGTAATCTCCAAAAGATTGGAGAGTACACAGAGGTGATATGTAATTGCTACTGCATTTTATATAGAGGACTTGCATACTTGCAGATGTAAATACGTACCAGGGTCCTGGAAACAATTCCCTGCAGATAGCAATACAATGTCCCTAGCTTATGTTTTGAAAATTTGTTTTCAGTCTTTCTTGTCTCAACCTTAAGTCATTTTTATTTTCGGCAGTGTGTCAGTGAGCTTCCAAAAGCTCTGCTCCATCCCTGTGTGCCTCCAGGATCCAAGTACTGGTTCCCTGTCTCAAAGTCAAGACACAGAAACAGTCTCCAGTTTTCTCTCTCCTAAATGTCATCTTCTCAGTGCCGATTTCCTGTTTGAGGTCCTACCTGTTCTTCAAGAACTGGCACTGCAAATTTTTATTTTTTAAAAGGAGATCCTTAATCCCTTCACGTGGGTAACCAACTTTCCACTCTGAGCTCAAGGGACAATCAGGAAGAATATGGCTCAGACAGAAGTAAGATATTTACTTGTAATGGCAGAGTCATCTCATTGTGGGCTACTCAACATTGTCTGTTACTAATGTCATTTTATTATCTTTTCTATTTTATTCTATGTTTGGAGCTGACTGATTCAGAAGAAAATCTTCAAATTCTACATTGTAGTGATGACTAAATCTCTTTCCTATAGTCTGGTTAATTTCAAAGACTGTTAAAAATTTAAATGAATTGCCCTCCATTCACCCACATGAAATTCGTTCACATAATTATTATGAGTTTACATAGACTCATAACTCTTATGGTTTTATTTTTTTCCTAACAGCTTTATCAAGTTACAGTTTAAAGCAGCATAACATCCAACTATTGTAATTCTACAGTTCCATGATATTTAACAAATTGTAGCTTTGTGCAATCATCCATGGTTAGAACATTCCCATCACTTCAAAAGGATTGTCTGTGATTGTTTCCAGATGGTAGTCACTACCACCACAAGCTTTAGGCAATGTTGGTATGCATGTACATTTTATCTTGCAGAGTTACCTTTTCTAGATAACTCATGCAAACGGAACTATAACATAGGCAGTCTTTTATATCTGATGTTTTACCTAACATAATCCTTTTTGGTTTTCCTTCATGCTATTTTATGTGTTGATTCCATTTGATAGCTGAATTATAGAAGGGATTTTTCATTTTTAAAATTCTTTTTCATGAAGTTTCTGAAATACCTTCACATCCCATTGAATATATGTACAATATTTTGGTTCTCTGTTCAGTAATAGATAGAGGTGGAGTACCTTACATCTTGTTTTTTTTTTACTGTTAAGAATGAGGGAATTATGAAAATTTGTGTATAGCTTTTTCATTTCTCTTGTTTCAAGAATAAAACAGGAATAGAATTAATGCCTAACTTTTAAGAAACTGTCATTGGTTGTTAATTAGCTGCAGCATTTTGTATTTCAACAATCTGCCTTCTCCATATCTTCATAAATATTTACTCGCTCTTTTTATTCACTTTTTGATTATAGCCCCCCTAGCAGCCATGTAGTGATATCTTGCTGTGCCTTCAATTCACATTTCTTGTTTATCTCTGATGGTCTGTTGTTGATCATCATGTATATATGTTCTCTATAAAGTGCCTGTTCAAACTTCTACACCTTCTTATTTAATCCATTCTGCTACTGTTGAACTGTACAGGAGTTATGTACGTATTATGAATATAGGCCCTTTATTAGATATGTAAATGTATATGTCTGATAAAGTCAAATTTTCTTTTGGTATGCAGAGTTGCCACCTCCCCCCCTTTTTCAAGATTTATTTACTTAAATGTCAGAGAGAGAGGTGAGAGAGAGTAAGAGAGAGCAAGAGAACGAGAGAGTGGCGGGGGGAGAGACACAGCGAGGTCTTCCATCCACTGGTTGACTCTTAGATGGCCACAACAACAGGATCCAGGAGCTTCGTCCAGGTCTCCCATGTGGCCATCAGGCACCAGGCTCTTGGGCCTTCTGCTGCTGCTTTTCTCAGGCTGTTTGCCAAGAGCTGAATTGGAAATGCAGCAACTGGGATGTGAACTGCCGCCCATTTGGGATCCTGCATTCACAGGCAGTGGCCTTATTACACAACATCAGCACCTGTTGTCCATTTTTATAATCTAGTGTTTTTGAAGAACACTCTTAAAAAGTTTGGATGAAACCTAAATAAATTCTTAATTTACCAATCATACTTTTTAGTCTTATACCTATTTTCTAATCATAAATTTAAAATATCTCTTGAGTTTTCTTATGGAACCTTTTGGTTCATATAATAATTTTGATTAATGATTTTCAATTGATTTTTACTTAATTTTTGTGTATATTGTGAAATAAGGTTTCAATTTTGTTTTTAATTTTGGCATTGTCTTAGCACTATGTGATGTCCCAGGAGGACTAACTGACCCAACACCACCTGTTGAAAGAACTCTTTCCCTGTCCAATTGAACATCTTGGCATCTTTCTCAGAAGTCAGTTGACCCCAGATGTAGGGGATTTAGTCTGGTTATATCACATTCCATTGCTCTTTACATATTACTATATACT